AATTATTTAAAAGTATAATAAAACAATGCAGCAAACAGCGATCTGTCGATTCCGAAAAACCCATACTTCAAGTGTGTATACAATATGACTTATGAATTAGAATATTTTATAAAATAATGCTATAATACCTATTAATTTTCTTGGAAAACTTTCGATAAGTAATAAGCTTTTAACAACAAATATGATAAATTATAATTGACAATAATATAAATAATACGTTTATACGAGGTGTATATCCCACTTGTGAATATTAAATGGACGATACTGTTTTTTATTCAATTTAATTATGTTGGTATATTTTTGGTAACGTCAGTAATGTTGCCAAAAAAAATAATATTTAGGAGCCGTTTAATTTTATGATACGTATTATACACATTGATATATGCTGTTGTATATCAAATATAAAAAAAATTACATAGAACAAAAACAAAATTAATCTAAATAAAATATTATAATCTAATCTATACAATACATTCATACTAACATTGCGGAATGCAAAGATCAAAGATGTATTTTTAGCAATAATCTATATTGATACAGTCTGTCGATTAGCCCAGTTCTCCGCTCGGACGAGTAAGTCCGAATTTTAATTTGTCGACCCGTACACTCTGGCAAAAAGCCCGCTAAAATAAGAGAGTTTAGTTTTTATGCTCTATTCGTTTAATTGTACTTTGGCGAAATCGCAAAATTGAGTTACAAGATTTTAGAAAATATACATACTTTTGCAAAACATTGGAAAAGCAATAATTTTAATTTAAAAAAAAAGCGTATTTAATATTTATAAAGAAAAACGATAAGACTAAGTGAACTATTGAGAAAGCATCTATAACAATCATAGACCAGAACAAATACGCAGGTACCTATTATGTTAATATTATATACCTTACATAGTGTGCTAAAATATTAATAAGTTTTATTTTCAAAACATTATACGATAGTCGAGGATACTACATATAATTTCGGATTAACATCATTCTCGGACAACACAACTAAAAGAAATTCGGTATTGTATATACTTAAAATCCAAAACATRTAATATTATACTCATTATAGAGTATTGAATGATGCAGACTCATAATTAATGAGTCATTAAAATACCTATATTATATTATTATTAAGTGTAGCGATTCTTTAAACCATGACTGAAGTTTTTTTTTTTAAATTTTTTTGAAGGCTCGCGGATAAGAAATTATTTACTTACCCTGTTGCCGAGCTTTACGCCTATGTAATCGTAATGATGACCATCTCTGCAAATGTGGCACGTCCGATTTGTCGGTGAGTACGACCGACGTCGGTGGTGTTGAAATCACACTCGGTCGTCGATTAGACGATTTCGAACTAGAATTACCGTGAAATAGAGCCGTCAACTTGCCCAAAGTGCCTACCATAATTTTATTGTGCTCGTAATAATAGTCGGATAACCAAATTGTATTTTCAATCAAGCCACGTCCGGTCTCTCCTTCATCGGGCCGATCGATCACAGACAACCATAGGAGTAAATCATCATATCCAATCCGATTGCTCAAACCGATTAATTATCAAATCGCGAATTTGTCGGTTTTTTTTTCTCTAGCCATTATTCAATCGAAACATTATGTACGACGGGTGCACATGTGAATTATGCATGGAATACTAAAATACGAAAAAATATTATTCACGTCTGAAACCACATTAGGAATCATTGACCCGGGATCGTGATACACCGTTGTAATTACCTACGTCCTGAGGCGCATATAATACTGCAGCAAGAATAACGATTTATTATAACAGCCTGTAATACAAATCTGAATATTAGATAGATATGGGATACATATCATATAAAACTAACGCAAAACCTTAAAACATTTAAAAACTTTTCGATATTACTGTTTAACATACAGGTTTTTGGTCCAGAAGTTTGTGTGAAATATTCTAAGTAGGTGAAAGCATGCGTACATTGTACATGCTGTATTATGTAGAGAAAGGCTAAAGGTGATTTAATGGAATTTTTAAGTAGTGTCTGTGGTACACATATTATATATATTACATATATATGGTATATTTTAAACTATTGACGAAATATTACAATAATTATAATTATAGGTACATTTATGCAGCTTCGAATAAATTAATTGAACAAATTTAWAGCAACATGTTTTAATTGACGACAAATAATTTTTGATTGTACAGGAAAAAAATCATCTTTATAAGTGGTTGTACAGTATGTACATTGTACACAACTATACTTTGAGTGCTCCCTGTTATATTAATAGTGAAAAAAATATGATATAAATTACGTATCAATATTAAATTACCTACACGACACATCCAAACGACATTATTCATTTTCAATTAAGTCGTTATTATTTTAATTTGTGATGGACGAAAACAATTTTACTACTTTTTATCTCGARTTCAAAGAAGATTATATTAATATAATATAATTTATATTGTTATCATATTATTTATATTGGTTTTATTTCTTACTCAATTTTTATCACTTTCAATAACTAAAAACACATTTCGAAAATTGACATAATTACAAAACAAACATGAGATTAAAATGATATTGTTTTAACACTAATATTACAGTAAATATTTATATCAAAACACGGTAGTTATAAATTTTAAATACATTTCTAAATTTTAAAATTTAAAAAGCGTGATACCACAGAGACTTGTTAAAAAATTATGCCTGCTATTGTACTATAATAATAATATTGTACTATTTGTATTATAATAATACGAAATAATATGCGGAATATATTTATACTAGTATTCATTGTATAACGAGAAAAGGGCAAGTTCGTTGTAATAAGGTCAATGAGTTCCTAATAGTCTCTGACGGGAGTCAATACCTATATTGAAATTTTACCTTACCGACATGTAATCCATGAATGCAGATTATTAATAAATATCAAACAGCGTAAAAATGTTGCTCCAGAACAGCGTAAATACGGATCCGAATGAAGCGGCGATATTATTGATAAGACACCGGTACACGTATGCGCGTACGAGCTCTCACGAAAACCGGCGGATTAAAACTAATAGTAGTAACATCTCGAAGAGAACTTCCGCTACGGGCCGGCTTCGCTATAGTACCCGACCTTCGAATGCTGAACTGTCGTTGGCAACCGTTCCAGTCACCCACACAGTGATGGCTAAAATTTTTTTGTTTACTATATTTTAATTTCGGTTGATACGATTCGCACAAAACGTTACGACTAACGAACACATACGCATGCATGTCGACACTATCGGAGGATTCGACCTCCGTATCGATATAGTACAACGGTTAATAATAAATTATAAATTATAGTGATGTACGCATTATATACCTGCGCGTAATTATTATTACAACATAAACGGGTAACGCGCACGTGTTTCGGTGTCACGATGAATGACTCCCACAGACCTCCACCACTTCTATTATCATACWCTAATATTCCTACAGTCCGGCCCCCCACGAAATCGAACCACGTGACTATACGTCGAGAAATCCATCGAGTGATCTATATGCGCCTATATATTATCGCGTTCGTCACCAAAGAGCTCTATAAAACGTATATCGTTAAAAAAAATATCGTCTTATATTATAAGGCGATAACCATAATACTATAAAAATATATAACCGTATAAGAATAAGATAGTTGATAATATTGGTACCATTGKACCAACAACCATCTAAACTGACTGAACTATCAATACAAATAATATTAGTGATATAMTTATAATTTAAAATAAAAYAAAAAAATCTATTTACCAGACTTAGAAATTAGAACTACAATAATTGCAGTCTTTTATTAAATTATTAAACTATTAATGATGTATTCTAATTTAATATAAGGCAGTTACCTATCAATAACAGTTTTAACTTTTTTTCGACCAAATCAATAAATTTTCAGCATAAAAGTCCAAGAATTTATAGTATATGACAATACACGGTATACAACTWAAATGATAATATTGATTGTGCATATTTTTATACTGAAATATCAATATATATCATATTTTCATATGGTATACATAATAGAAACAATTAACATATATTTTAAAGAATAAAAAAATATCATGCATCAGTGTAAGAATAAAACAGAAGATCTATTAAATAATAATCCCAACATGAATGAGACAACATCAGAGAGATAGAATTACACAGTATACACGTATATCAGAAAACAGAGCTTCCGCAAGTAAAACTAGTTATCGGCATTGATTTTCATTGGTTCAACGCGCTCATTGGCATCGCGAACCTTTTTTAAAATTGTAGTAGTTTTTTATGGTTAAAAATAATTGCAAGTTGTTTTTARTCGCAAGATGATRATAGAAGAGAAAAATAACATATATTGTAGTCTACATATCATTAGTCTACTAATGCCACTGTGTTCATTCTGTATATGACTATTATATATATTGTATACAATACCTAAACGGCTATAAACACTGCAATAACCACAAAAATGTGCGCAGGTTGATATGTCGTATACAGCTTTCTCAAATAGTTACAATTTTCAGATGAGTTACAGTATCGGCCTGGMATGTAAAATACCTAAGCCAAAATGTATTCTTCTTTAGGGTCTATATTATTTCTTTATATACTAATATACTAAATGCATAGTGGGTTATTAGTGACTAGTGTAAATCCTCCTCCCACCCTATACCAGCCAAAATGTAAATCAACTATATTTTATAAACCAAATAATTGTATCAGAATTCAAAGTTAGATAAATGTGATGATTGAAATAAATAAAAATAAAATCATCGTATCATGCGTATAAAAAATACAACACACGTAAAAACTAATTATCATTAACCAAAATAAATTTTTCGAAATATTAATAAAACAATGTAATATATATGTACGACTGASTGAATTTATTTACCTATAGATTGATCGTAAATAATGATAGTGACTGTATACTTAATTTTGTAATACTAACCTAATATTATTTGATAAACATACTCAGACACTCATAAACAATAATAAATATATACTAAAAATGTATTTTTTTAACTTGTACCTGGGTTTAATCTTCGGTTTTGAGGAGTTCCTTTTGAGGGCGTAGTCAAATGTTTGCGCACAGATGGTACMACAACATTTACAGACGATGAGCGCAGATTAAAATTTTTATCTACAAAAAAAATACACATCGTATATTTTTGTTATAAGCGTTTTAAGAATAGGTATAATTAATTAAGATAATCAAAACTAACCTAAACATAATTCTTCAAAATAATTGTGACCATAATTTCCAATTATAAGAGTTTTCACTCGGTTGAAAAAACTAAAAATACCTTGCAGTATGCGTATCATCTTAAAGACTAACAATTAAATAAAAATGTATTAGAAGAATAAGTTATATTTTCGCTCTAGTTGGCCTCGGTTTCCTTATAAAATGAAAATTATTACCACTACTTTACTAAAGTCTCCTAACACGGATAGACGAGATTACAATACGTCTTCATTAGACACTGGTTATTAAACAGTTTCAATAAAATATGATATGTRTAGCAGAGTGAATGACGGGAACAAAAAACATTTTTTTTTTAAGTAAAATATTATAAATGAAAACCACATTTTACTTTCTAATGCAGTGTTGCATACGGTTCACTGTGGTGGAATTTTYTTTAAGAAGGAAATAGTAACAATATATTAAAATAACTGTTAGGAAAATTAAATAGATAAAAGTTTGACAAAATAAAAAAATTTCATCAAAACATATAGGTAATAATATTATATTTCCCTTTAATGTAAATTCAAAAAAAAAATGTATGGTCGGCTAATAACCTCGTTGTTGATGCCGTAAACAATAAATAGAAAATAAATAAATATATTTTCCCTATAAATACTAAAGAACAAACTTTTTTTTTTATTAAATTACATTTTGAAAAGATATATAAGATGGTATCAGTCATCAGATTTATTATAAGAATTTATGTATTTATTGTATTTGTATTTTGTATAAGTAATTTCGTAAAATCAATCTTTCCATTAAATGTTCACACCGATTTATCATCGTGTAATTATTTTCACTTATAGTTTAAGAAAACATTAACCGCAAACAATTATTGTTATATATCTATTTTAGGTACATCACATTATTGCCCTATAATCAAAATATTGAATATATCAGCTATATGATAATTTAATAGTAGAATGTAAAAAGAATAAATAATACAACTCAGTATTAGTTTTCTATGGAAAAATATATTATCCTAATATGAAACATTATTATGTAATAAC